GAGAGAGAGAGAGAGAGAGAGAGAGAGAGAGAGAGAGAGAGAGAGAGAGGATGAGCGCGCGTACCTCACGCGTTTTTCTCGACGACAGGTAAACTAGTTTGTCATCTGGCTCCTCCGCGAGACATCAGATCTTTCTTGCCTATCTATCTCCTCCTCTTTCGCTCTCTTTTTTCCTCTCTCCTCCATTAGCCGCGTGGCACGCTCAACGAGTATCTACATTTTACACGAAAAATTAAGAAAATAGTATGGAATAGTTTTGCCGATAAGCCAATATAGAGCCTGTTTAACCGCGATTATTTAACTCGAGGCATTCAGTGTCGAGGAACTTTCGATTGCCTATTTTCCAATTTCGTTGAACGGAGTATTGGTGCAAAAAAGAAAAAAGTTTGAGAATAACAAGAAGAAGGCTTCGATTGATCTCTATTTATTCTGACAATTATATATTTTTTTTATATATTATTTATTTTGTATATTATGTCCGTAGATGAGGTCGATGAAGAGTATTTTGCAGTAATGGTATCGCGATGGAACACGAATCCTTGCTTGCAGAAAGGATTTGATAGCCGCGTGAATTCTGAATGTCCAAGTACCGTAAGAGATACAAGTGGAATTCGACCAAGCAACTCTCCTTCTCGTTCATTCAGCTCGTACCTTAATGAACATTGGCGCGGTGAACGTGACTGTAAAGCTGCCTTTGCAAATAAAGCAATTTCACGCTCTATTTTTCTTGCTCGTAATCGTCGTTTATTATCAATTATGTCATCGATCGTACGTTTTCGAGCGAGAAGAAAACTCGTTGTAAACGTTATCTGGGTTCGACCCGAAAAGAAAAGTCGACTCGAGTCGAGTCGATTGCACAACTCGACAAAACGAGAACCTGGCCAGGTAAATACTTTGCAATGACTCACAAGGAGATTACCAAAGAGGACAAGTCGCATAGGCTTCTCTCGTTCTCTCTTTCCCTCTCTCTCTCTCTCTGTCTTGGCCACGTGTTGTTTCAAGCACGAGCCGATTCCATCGAATTTCTCTCTCTCCCGCGAGACGGTGGTAGTAGTCCAGGGACGTAAAATGATACCGGAAATTGCGGTAAAGTGGTATAAAGCCGGCGACAAGGGTGACCGAGGAGGGCATCGACTTTCTCGACAGTCGAATACCCGATATCCTGTCCTCGATAGATAGAGCTCGGATCGAGCTCGTCTTTGATACACGAAATTACTTGGAAACTGGTGGAAGGGGGAGGAGGATAAATCCATTCGCGACGAGGGTCGTGGCTGTGTTGCAGAGAGACTTTTGCTAAAGGGAAAGTTTGCCTTCTCGACGAAACTTCGGAAACTTCTCGAACCGGTCAACGAATGATTACGAACGTTACGAACAATGCAAGGATAATCACAATACGTGGTTAAGTATATCGAAAGAGAGAGAGAGAGAGAGAGATATTCGCTCGAAACTCGTACAAAAGTCGCGTTAAATACCGCGATTGTGTATCGCATAAGGCGAAGAATATCTCTGACGTTCAAAACGTATGCAAACGAGACGTGAATAATCCGTTTGTTATTCGATAAAAATCGTGACTCATCCTACGCGATCGAGAGGATCCTCGCCTTTTCCTTCGAGAAAAAAATCCTCGAGGTTTTAATCGAAACGTTTGCCTTCAAAAGAAATCTGTTCTCGTACTTCCAAAACCGAAATTCTTCAGGAAAAAGGAGATCCGCCGTATTTTTTCTTTATATATATCCCATAAAATTTCAAGTTACAGCGAGTTTTTAAATAACAGAAAAAGAAATTAGAAGCGAGAATTCAAGAATACTCGAACGAAGAATGGAAGCATGTTAAAATCCTCGCCTAGAATAATCGAAACTCTTTCCCTCGGAATGGCGAATCGAGAAAGGAAGAAAGAGACGGAATCGAAAGGAAGAATGAAACGGACGTCGTATATATAAAGATGAGAGAGTTTTTTTAAAAAACGTTTCCTGGCGCTAAGTCAGTTAATGTCCTACCGTCTGCTTGTCCCTGTCACAGAGCAACTCTGTATTACTTTTCCTGCAGAAAAATCGCCTGGTCCGTCGCATCGCTTCGACGCGAATTTTTTACGAAATCATCGTTCGACGGATACCAAAGGCAACTGTCCGCCTCGCTCGTACGTGGATCGAACAGGTCTTGGTCAAAAAAGCGGACAGTTGTTGCCTCTTTCCACTCGCGAAAGACCAGTTTTCTTTTCTCTTCTTTTTTCTTTTTTTCTTCGAGGGAAAAACTCGCGTCTCTTCGTCGACACAGACGATAGAGACTCGAGAGCCACTCCTATTGGTCGTGGAGAGGCGCGGTGGCGAATAATTGAATTTTCGTGCGTACCCACGAAACCTTGCCTCGTTGTAAAATACTATCACGTTCCGTGGAGGAAAATTGCGATAACATTATCAACGGCGTAACGGAGAACTTTGCGTGGAAACAAGGTTTGTCTTCGGTGAACTTCTGTAACGAGATCACCGAGAATCGATATATATATATATATATATATAGTTGGAACAAGGAGATTTTTCCGATGAAAATGGACCTGGCTCCTCCCGAGGGAGGGTTAATCCGTTAAAGGGGTCAAGTAGGTGTTCCCTTTCGAGATCGTAAATTCCTTGACCAAGCCTCCGTCACCCTTTCACTTCTCTTTGTCCGCCCGTCAAAAGGGACGAGTCAGCCTTGCTCGTTTCGATCCCTGGCTGGGGCCAGACGGTTGAACGAAGAGGAAGCGGGCGCGAGGGGGTGAGAGCGCCGCACCACGGTTTCAAACGGTCCTTTTGTGGCCGGTTGGACAAAAGAGGTAACCCAGAGACACGTCTATTCCGCCACGATGCGAGAGAATGTTGCCTGCGAAATGCCGTCTCCCTATCCTCTCTTAAACGCGCGAAAAGAAGATTCGTTCCTTTCAACCCGAAGTGTTTTCGTCTCGCTGATGATGAACCAACCTGCTCGCCGCCAATCACATTTTCCCACAATCAGATTTACACGAGGGGAGTAATAGTATCATCCCCTTCCTTCCCCTATTTTTCACTCCTTCCCCTACTCTTAACGGAAGAAAGGAAGATCGAGAAGAAAAGAAAATCGGTTTACGCGGAACGATCGATCTATATTTCATCTATCGAACGCGTTGTTTCGAACGAGGGAGGGGAAGAAGCGGAGAGAAGAGAGAGAGAGAGAGAGAGAGAGAGAGAGATCGGCAATGACAGTCGGCGGAGTGCGGGATCGACGGTGATTCGACGGTGAAAATATGGAATCGGGACGGGTAGGTAGGGGGAGAAGGTAGGGTGGAAGTGTCAAAGCGGTGGCAAACGAAATTACGAAGGCCGAAAGTTTATTTGAAATTCGGCTGCGCGAAATCGATCGTCCGGTTGGTTACCTCCGCCCTCTTCCGTCCGCCGTTCTATTCCTGCTGGATTAAAGTTTAAAGGGTGGTACTCGATTCTGCATAAGCTTACGGAGAGACAGACGGGGCCGACAAAGACAAGGGCAGACGAACGGATTGAGACAGAGGGAGGACAGGAGAGAGAGAGAGGGACAGTGAGATGGAAAGTTGAACCGGGAAACCGGGAAAAACGGAAGAAGAAGAAGAAGAAGCATCGGGGAGAGATGGATAGAGAGAGAGAGAGAGAGAGAAGACAATCTAAACGCGTGACGCGTGGAGAAGGAGCGAAGACGAGAGGGATAAAAAATGAACGAGCCGTTTCGAGTCGAATATGAAGAGAGAGAGAGAGAAAGAGAAAGAGGGAGGGCAGAAACGTCGTCCTGTTCCTGAGAGACAGGCCGATCTACTCTCGACGAGATCCCTTTTGAATCGAATATACGACAGAGGCAAAAATTACGGAACTCCATTATCGGGTGTCGG